TCCCATGTGACTGAGATGTTGACCACAGTCGGCTGCAGAGCAAATCGCAGCGACTGCATCAGCTGAAAAATAATGAAAAACTCTCCAAATATACACAAACAGCTGGAACAGACATTTTACTCACTGCAGGTCTGATCTCAAAAATGTATCTGCTGCTGCTGTAATGATTAACTTGACCTCTAATTGTGTTTAATGTCTTACTTTTGGTTGCATCCTGTCAGTCCCTGTGATGAATTGAGCGTGACCTCCTCCTTCCTTGGCCATCCCATTGATGAGAGCAGAGTTTGCCCCTTCCCCAATCCCAAAAGAGAAACACCTGCAATACAACAATTTTTGCTGATTACACAGAGGACATGTTGGACATTCTGGGAATTGTGTAGATATAGTTGTGTTTTTGTTGTTTCACCTGTGAGAACCTGAATTCTTCTTCACCAGATCGATCACTTCTTTGGTGTTTCCCACCTCTCCATTAGTAAAGACAAACAGCTAGAGATAAGTTGGCACATAAGGACATAACATCAAACCCAGAAACATCTCTTGTTCTATGTGTGTGTGTGTGTGTATTCACCTAGGTATATAATTTACTGGGACAATGGTATATCGGGACATTCTCATAATGAGTTTCAGAGTATAATTCAGTATAACATTTGAGTGTGTGTATGTGCAGTCACCTATGTATATGATTTACCACCAGGTACAATATGTGTGACACAAAAGGACCTGATGCACATAGCCTTGTCGGGGTTAGTATTTTGCCCAAGGATATTTGGCATGCAAACTGGGGGACAAATAGCCACCCCGCTCTTGCGTTCTCTCTCTCTCTATCTTCCTGGACAGTGCTCATCACAGGCTCTCGCCTTTGACCCACGCACCTGTTCCTAATCGGCGCACCTGCCACTGATCGCTGCAACCCTGGGCCTTATTTAATATGGCAATTCTGTGCTACTCGTCGCTGGATCATTGAGTAGTCTGCATCAGTGAATCTGTCTTAAGACATTTGAATCCGAGCCTCTGTTTGAATCTGTTTCTAATTGATCTCTCTTGTATATAGATCTGCCCTAGACCTGAAAGGAGCTGGAGTTTGGAGAGAGAATTGTATGTGTTTGGACCTTCCCTTTTCCCCACGAACCCAGAACCCCTGGACCTCACTCTGCACTTTGTACATATCAGCACTTGGGCTTGCACTTTAAATAAACTCACTGTTTGTCCCTGTGAAGGAATTCTGGTCTGTGCCTGAGTCTGTTGAGTTGCGTGACAATTTGTGTATGACCCCATTCATGCACCTGACCTCCACCCACACCACCGCCAACAATGAACATGGTTGAAACAAGGCTTGACCAATTGGTCCCACCACACTATGCCTGTTCTGAGCCCCTCCGTGAACCACTTGACCACAATGAGGTCCTCTGTAAAGGACCTGAAAGCAACCACTTGGCAGCAGGCTGCATAGGCGAAACAGCCATCCAATGGGGCCACATGGAGCGGTTTTGCTTGGTCCTGTGTCCTGTTGAGTTGGTGTTAATGCAATGCTGCCTGCATAGTGGCCAGCTCTGTCACTATGTTTGCCAGTGTTTCCACTGACTGTGGTCATGGGTCCACCTTCCACGACTGGGTTTCGCCACAACTTGTGATACAAAATACTGAATGCATGCATTGTTAGCTCTCTTAGCTATTCTGTCTTGTGCCATTTGTTTATAAAGGGGTTACTTTCTTGTAAAATGTATTTCCAAGTATGAGTTTATCTTAATTAAAGATGGCCTTCCAGGAATAGTTTGAAAATTTCAACAAGTGGAAAGGAATCAAATGTTCAGCATTTGCTTCTTGTGCTACAGCTAAATGAATAGTTGTATTCAGAACTTAGAACTAAACATGTTACGTTGCCCGTAACTGTTAATTTAATGTTATTTTCTTCTGTGTTTCATCTGCTACAGACGACTACTTAGATCAACTAGTTTAACAAATTGACAGGAACCTGCAAAAAACAAATCCCCTTAGAGTTCTCAGTGAGATTGAAAGTGTAAATACAATCTATTTGATTTGTTTGTTTGAAAAAAATGTCTGGGGCTAGATTTCTTAATTAGTGTGAGCTATAGTTTAACTACAATCAAACACAAGGCTTGGTGTTTAAAATTTAATTGAAAAATAAAAATCCATGTCATGCTGAGGCAGATTATTGGCCGGTAGTTGGGTGGGACCGGTCCCTTGGATTGTTCCTTGGGGATCAGAACTATCTGACCTTCAGTTAGCCATTCTGGATGTGTCTCATCCATTAGCAACAGATTCACTTGTGCTGCCATGTGCTCATGGAGTACAGTTAGCTTCTTCAACCAGTATGTCAGAATCATGTCAGGGCCTGGTGCTTTCCAACTCTTTTTTGGTTGTGATGGTTAAGGGATCCTGTTCAAGGAGGTTGCTATGGTATGTTCTTAGATCCACTAATCAAATAACTGAGCCTATTGATGTGGTGTGTTGAAAAATCCATAGGTCCCACACTGGTCTTTCTCTCTCCGTGTATATAGAGATGCAAATAATGTGTAGAAAATAGGTCAGGGTATTGTCACTGATTTCTATAAGTGATTCGATTCCGATTCACAATGTCCTGATTCCATCAATTCAACTTTTACTCAGACAGTCAGAAATATTATGATTCTGATTATTCATCAGTAAATCTACATATCCAAGTATAAAAAAAAGCTGACACTTGTGAGACTTCATCAGAGGTATAAGCATCCCATCAGATGCCTTTGTGTCAAAGTAACTTATGGTAAACATCTGAGGAATAAAGAAATCATTACTTGTCCTTTTAATCAGTGTTCTTTTACATCGCACATTTGCTCCAGTTTTATATCAAATACAGTGGGATTCAAAAGTTCGGGCAACCTTTTTAATAGTCATTATTTTCCTGTATAAATCGTTTGTTGTTACAATAAAAAATGTCAGTTAAATATATCATATAGGAGACACACACAGTGATATTTGAGAAGTGAAATTAAGTTTATTGGATTTACAGAAAGTGTGCAATAATTGTTTAAACAAAATCAGGCAGGTGCATAAATTTGGGCACCGTTGTCATTTCATTGATTCTAAAACCTTTAGAACTAATTATTGGAACTCAAATTGGCTTCGTAAGCTCAGTGACCCCTGACCAACATACACAGGTGAATCCAATAATGAGTATTTAAAGTGGTCAATTGCAAGTTTCCCTCCTCTTTTAATTTTCTTTGAAGAGTAGAAACATGGGGGTCTCAAAACAACTCTCAAATGACCCGAAGACAAAGATTGTTCACCATCATGGTTTAGGGGAAGGATACAGAAAGCTGTCTCACAGATTTAAGCTGTCTGTTTCCACAGTTGGGAACATATTGAGAAAATGGAAGAACACAGGCTCAGTTCAAGCTAAGGCTCGAAGTGGCAGACCAAGAAAAATCTCGGACAGACAGAAGCGACAAATGGTGAGAACAGTCAGAGTCAACCCACAGACCAGCACCAAAGACCTACAACATCATCTTGCAGCAGATGGAGTCACTGTGCATCGTTCAACCAAGGAGATGCTGTATGTGAGAGTGATGCAGAGAAAGCCTTTTCTCTGCCACTTTCTGTAAATCCAATAAACTTAATTTCACTTGTCAAATATCACTGTGTGTGTCTCCTATATGATATATTTAACTGACATTTTTTTTATAGTAACAACCAACGATTTATACAGGAAAATAACAAGTAACAAGGTTGTCCAAACTTTGGCATCCCACTGAATGAGTCATTTTCAGAGTCATTCTACTTTAAAAGATTTCAAAAGTTCTCTGAACACCAGGTAAAGTGCATCTTTTTCTTTGTTTGCTTTTTTTTTTTTTTTTTTAAGAAATTCTACAATCCCCAGCAGAGATGGGCAGTAACATAATCCGATTACTTTTTTCAATTAACGAGTAATGTAATGGATAAGTATTACAAAAAATGTAATTAGATTACTGTTACTTTCCCATAAGCACACTGCTTTACTGTGTTACTGTCACGGCTGGCGGGGTGAGCCGTGTGGTGTGGAGGAAAAGAAGGACCCAAAATGCATACAGCCGACTGATGATATGAGTGAGAGTTTATTTACAAGGTGGCAGTGGCAGAAACAGGCAATGAAGAAGTTAATGAGAAGTTACTAACGGAAACCTAAACTGGGAGAAACTAAAGAGCAAACCTGAAATCTTAACGAAACAGAGAGCAGAGCAGAGAGACGCAGACTAAGGAGCAGGATACCAAGAAACACAGACGAGCCCGCAACGAACACAGACCGACACCCACTAAATATACACACACAAGGTAATCAGGTAATCACACAAAGGAGGGAAGAACAGCTGAACCCAATACACATGAGGACCGGAGGAGACAAGCTGAACACAATGACAACAGACACAGACCTTCAGAACAAAACAGGAAATC